ACCAAGTCCATCATCTACACAAAGTGACCTTCATAAAATCACATCTCCTCCTCTTATCTGCTTAAGGTTTTCAAAGCTTTCCATTTTTTTTTTTTGAAGGATTTATAATACTTCATTCAAAGTACAAGGGTAGAAGTCAAGAATTGGTGAGTGCTTTTAGGTTTAGGGTAATGTTTAATATTTAAAGCAGATAGCACATTTTACTTAGTAAATTAGTCATGTTTATTTTATTAATGATGCCTTATAAATTGTAAACTCGAATTGTGAACTTGAAAGCCCCAGTTGTAAACTTGAAATCTGGGGCTAAGTTTTGTTCACGTCTCTCTCAGTTTGATACCAGGCTTCTTGGCTGGAAGTTAGGACTTCTCTTGCAAAGATTAAGAGGGAGCCTCCGCCTGTCTCACATGTGAGTAGAGGGCAAAGATTAACATCAAGCCCCCTTCTTTAGTTGGAGACAAAGAAAAATAGGCCACAAAGGTCCTGCTAATATAAAAGGGGGTGGCATAGTATAAAAGGAGGGCAGAATATTACGTGAGGTCATTGTTTGTAGATACTAAAAGAAATACTAACTAAAAGAAATGATAATCTTAAGAAAATTGTACCTGTCCTGTACTCGCCAGACTTCCTTCTCAATGTCTTTTCCCATATTCACCTCTCAGGAATGTGTCCTGGACCCATTTGGTGATAAAGATCAAAATTCTTAATTGACCTTCAAGATCCTGCATGATTTGGCCCCTGCCTACCTCTTTTGTTTCATCTCCTGACACTCATTCCCTCACTCACTGTGTCTGAACCAAACTTATGGTCAGACATTTTCTAGAATTTTTCTGCCTTTGGACCTTTCGCCTTGCCGTTCCCTGTTCCTGGATGCTCTCTGCTGGCTTGTCACGTGGCCGACTCCTCATCTTTCAGGTCTCTGCTTAAGTATCGCCTCCTCAGTTAGGATGACCCTGGCTCCGTTCTTGCCCCTCTAATGAACACAGCTGTATTTATTTAACTTTTACTTATGCACAGTTTTTCCCATTAGAGTGTCAGTGTCCAGGAAGATAGGAGCCCTGCTTGTTCCTTTTCTGAGCACATGGTAGGAGCTCCATAGATACCTGCTGACCAAATGAATGGCTGAGCGTGTGGGGGATAGAGTTGCTCAGTGCTGAGGCAGCAACCTGCTCCTTGTTCCCATTGCGACTGTCTGCATTCACTGCCTCTGTCACTGATTATCTGACCCATTTCTCCTATTGATCTCTTGGCCCCATAGATTACTCTATGCTGGTCTGGCCCCCAGGCTAGCAGCATCAACATTACTTGGGAATTTGTTAGAAATGTAGTTTTTTGGGCCCTAACCCAGACCTACTGAATCAGAATCTCCGGGGGTGGTGGGGGAGGAGAATGGGGAGAGAGGCCTAGTAATCTACATTTCAACAAGCTTCCAGGTGATTTTGCCTGCTCAAGTTTGAGAACCACTGCCCTAGACCTTGGAGCTCTTAGAAAATACCGGGTGCGGCTTGGAGCAAAAGATGACTAACTTCCCCTTACTCTACTCAGGAGGGGCCACGTTGGTGGCTATTGGTAGTTGGAGGGAGTGGGCCTGACTTGGGGAATGCATTGAATAGGTAAAAGTGATTCCCTGAATTATTGGAATTGTAGGGAATCTCTGTAGGAACCATAGTGGGAACCAGAGAAACCTGTAGAGTTAGGTTGAATTAAAATGGTTCTATGAGGGAGGTAACTGAGAGTAATCATAGTTACTGATATGCTGAGATGAAAAGATGTCAAAAGTGAAGTGTGCAGGATAGTGGTTCTCATTGGGGTTGGCGGAGAGCTTTTCAGGCAGCATTGGCTGCTTCCTCTTCTCTGTCCATCCACCCCTCCCTCTGTTCTGATACATCTTAAGATCTCTCAGGGGTCAGATGAGAGTATGTGTAGTTTGAAAAAACTCCCGGTAATTTTATATGACATCAAAAAATCATTTGAAAGACCAAAAACGGTTCTTAAACCTTTTCTTCCTTGGTGATTCATGTTTTTAATAGATATGCAGCCTTCAATTTTGAATGAGTCTATTTCTTAGAAACTGCTTTTATTAAACAGACTGTAAGGAAACTCAAATTCTAGAGGTAACACTAAATGTTCATTTTGAAGTGAATTTTGAACTGGAACTGTTCTTTCCAGTTTTAACAATATAATCTTAAACTCTTTTAATAAGTATAATATTTCAAAACCGAATCAGTGAAGGTAAGACTTGATATTTGATTTTTTTTATTCCCAAACTATAAGCACTAATGTACTGTCAAGGCTCTGTGCATGTTGCTCCAAAGCTCTCAACTGAGTTTGAAATTCAGAAGCAAATTAAAGATTATTTTCTCCATGAGCTTTTCAAAATGGAAAGTCTGTTAGGCTTTCGAGTGGCATTCTGAAGAAGAGACATTCTAGTTGCCCTCATATTTTTGAATTCTACTGAGAAGTGGTCTGGGCAAATCTTTCATCAAGAAATTTCCCCATGATAATTAGGGATTTTATATCAATAGAAAGTCAGTTTTGCTGTGCCAGTTCCTCTAAGAATTGTTACAGTGCTAATGAGACATTGTTTTGCTGTGTTGAAGTCACTGTTGGGAGAATCCTAGTTTGCTTGAAAAATTCTTTAGGGACATCATTTAAAATGCTTTTTTTAAAAAAATACTTGGATTAGGAAAATAATTCTATTTTTATTTCATAAATAGCAATTTTCTTAGATTCATTATAAATATGTTTTAAATACTTTCATAATTCTTCAATCAGAATCAGTTTTTTAAAAAAGTGATTTATTTTTCATATTTCTGTTTTCAGCTATTATTGCTTTTTTTCTACTGAAACTTAAACAATTTGGATTTTAGATTCAAAGAACCCTACTTTTATATTTCCTAAACCATCGATGTCTACTTTATCCATCTATAACTCCCTGGGAAGAAAGAAGAGAGACTGAAATATTATTTGAAAGGCGCCCAAAGTAGAGTTTAATTATTTGATGGAATTTCATTCTGATATACCTATCTCTAAATGAATATAAATTCCTGGTATATGGTTGAAATGAAATAAGTTATTATCAATCAAGACAGAATTTTTTTAAGTGTCTCATATGATAGTTCCACAAGGAAAGGGATACTTTTTATTTTTAGGGAAAAGTATGTAGTGCTTTGCAAATTCTAATTTTTGGGGGTACATTTTGTATATTTGTTTACTTCAGAAGTGGCAGTAAATACATTATTAATAGTGCAGACTTTCTTGTGTAAATGTTTATTTCAGTATAATTTTAAAAATATCTAATGTAGTCATTGGCATTAGAATGTAACTATAAAAAATTGCTATAAAAATAATATACATTCATTTGAAAGATTTTAGCAGCACAGACGTAAAAGGTTGAAGACTCTTCTTGGCCCTTTTCTACCTTCTGCCTCTCAGTTCCATTCTCAAGAGGAAGCATCTGGAGAAGGTCCTTCAAGATTTTCACTGATGACAGTTGTATTTACTGTTTCCTCTCAGGCTATGATAAAGTCACGTTAGCATTTTCATAAAGATTGGAAATAAGGTTTAGCACTATGTAAAAACATTTACTTTAAAGAATTTCATTTTGAAGAAAGATTGAGTTTTATACCAGTCAGCACATATTTTCCTTATTTTATCAATAGGAATAACTTTTAAAGGAAGTTATTCTTGGAGACAGGAAAAAGGTCTAATTCTTTTCCTAAGTCTTTCATGACAATGAAAATATTTTTGAAAGTCTTTTATCTTTTTATATCTCCCTCCCTCCACTCCACTTCACATCACATTTCTAACAATTCTTCTTATATTTGATCTTTTCATTATTAATCAAGGTTATAAATCTGTTTAAAATATAAATCATGGAGAAGGAGTGTAAATGCCATTAATTATAATGAGTTTTTAAAAATAAAACTATTCTTAGCTTATGTTTATTTCTGTCTGTGGAGTCGCTCACATACACATGAAATGTCATCACCTCTTTGTTTTTCTTAACTTTTGAGGGCTTCGCTTTGCTTATGGCATAAAATTTAAAGCTCCTAGCTTTGTTGACCAACTCTGGCTCCAGCCTGCTTTGCTAGATGGATCATCAGGTTTTCTTCTGTCCTACTGCATACCTCCTTTCCTACACTCAGTGTATGTTCTAATTGCCTCAGACAGATTGCCCTTCCTAGAGCATGCTTTGCATCTTTGTGTCTCCATGTGAGTACTTGTTCTGTTCTTTCAGGCTAGAGTTTTCATTACTCACTTTCCCACCTACCCTTCAAAAACTGCCTCAACATTATCTTCTTTATGTAGCCCTTGTTCACTTGCTTTTCTTTTCTTTCTGGGCATAATTGAGCCCACGTCTATTATAATAGTTCTTACTTCTGTTAGTTTATCATAATTTTCGTGTGTAATAGTCTGCGAGCAATTGAGGAATAGCTATGGGGTCTGACTATATTGGTTTAAATTTCTGTTCTGCCACTGACAACATTCAAGGGGGACTATACACCTTTGGGTAAGTTACTTAGACTCTCCATGCCTTAGTTTTACCATCTATAAAAGGATAATACTACCTTTTTAAATATGTTGTCAGGAGAATTAAATGAGATAATATTTAGATATTCTCAGTGTTCTTCAAATTGTGAACAATAAAATGTTTGATATTAATTTTTATGACTTTTTCAGCACTTAGTTCACTGTCTACACAAAGAATGTGTTTAAGAATGTGTTTTATTACTTAAAGGGAAGCTTTTCTACATAGACTTATGAATTATCAGTTTAATGGTTATAATAGTTTCTAATGTTTTAAAACAACTTGAGTTTTTATTGGCAGCTGGATTATTGCTTTGTTTTTAAGCATGTTGAAAATTTCCAACTTTCTTGTGCCGAAATAAGTAATAAAGGAGCAAGGGGAGCACCTTCTATTCCATTGCACAGAAAAAGCTTTTGGAGGAATGGTTGATGCACATAAAGTTGTCTGACAGATCTGTTCTCCTTCTCTGTAGGCCTTGTGTAGAATCACTCGCCATTCTCCTACTGCCTTCCAGAATGTTATTGAGAAGGTGGGACTGAACTCGGTGATAAACTCCCTGGCCTCTGCCATCTGCAGAGTTCAGCAGTACATGTTGACCTTGTTCACCGCCATGTTGTCCTGTGGGATTCATCTTCAAAGACTGATCCAAGAAAAGGTTTGCCCGAGATTTCACCTGTTACTCTACTTTAAAACTTGTTGTTTTCTCCTACAATTTCAGTGGTTCAACAAGTAATGACATCACTGTATAACTTATTTCTCATTCTGGGGGGCCTTTTTGAACTTTGCCAAATCTCTGTACCACAGGGCATTCATCTGAAGATGTTGTAAGAGTCTTTTAGTGATTAAAATAGAAATCCAATAAATGGCCTCTGCCTGCTTATCTCATTTTAGTAATAAAAAATTGGACAATTTATGAGTCCTTTCCATACGCTGATATTTCTTATACCTCATCAACCCTGGGCCCCATCTCTTTTTCTCATATCTTTTGCCTTCCTTAGGGGGGAGTCTCTTTATATTTTCTGCTTACTCCGACCTGTTTTTATTCCTTTAGAGCCCCCTCTGTCTGTTTTTAGCTTAGTCCCCTTCTAATCTTTTATTTTGCGTAGAGATTGTAGGTATTAAATTCATAACATAGAACTGCATTAGCTATAAAGGGGTCTCTATAGTGGCCTTTCTCTGGCCTCTTGCTCTAAAGAGTGGTCTCCGGACAGCAGCACTGTCATCATTTGGGAGTATGTTGGGCAAGTGTGTTGGAAATGCAGATTCTCAGGCCCCTCTGCAGACCTGAATCAGAATCAACATTTTATTGAGATCTCTAACCAATTCGTTTGAATTTTATGGCTTGAGAAGCCCTGCCTGAGAATATTAGTATTTGGTAAAGTGTTAACAGGTGAAAGAAGGTGGACCATGGGTATATATAAATTTGGAAAGCAATGAATCAAAGTTAGATATTTTCAATTGTATGACTTTTCCCAGTCTTGAATACTCTAATAATGTACTGTGAATCTGGGAATGAGGGGAACACAGTATGCAGCATTCTTTAAACTTACTCTTTAAAAAATGGTATGCATTCTTTAGACCAGGGGTCCTCAAACTTTTTAAAGGGGGGCCAGTTCACTGTCCCTCAGACTGTTGGAGAGTGCGCACTGTGGGCCAAGGATGAATCAACTGCTAAGCAGGATAGGCAGCAGAGGCAAAAACACCCGGAGGGCCAGATAAATGTGCTAGGCGGCCCGCATATGGCCCGCAGGCCGCCAGCAGTAGTTTTAGGATGCCTGCTTTAGACCAATCATCCTTTTTTTCCTAGGGACAGAGGAGTACACCTTTCAAATCAGAGTTTTGCAAAACACAGTGTAAGTAATGCTGCTCAGAAGTGTAGAATGGAACCACTTCAATACACTGTTTATCATGGTTCTGCATTAAATATCACATGTTAAATTTTGTTTTTATAACTAAAGTTAAAATTGCAATAATCAATATGAATCACTATCCGATTAACATAATAAATTTACGTGTAAAAGTTCAAATAGAAAGCAAACCACTTCTTGCCTTTACTGTAATTATTCTGGTTTTGATTCTGCTAAGAAGTTTGTGTCTCAGAGAAATTTTTTTTTTTTTTTTGACTGCAATCATCTGGCATCAGAGAAATATTTTTTTCAACCACCTGTGTGTCCTGCTTTTGCTATTAGATTTTTTAAGTTATTAAATGTTCTTATTGTATTAGAAAAAGTAACACTGGAGTAGTTATACTTTGTAAGTTGGGATAAGAGAAGCTGAAAGTTTTAGAAGAGTTTTTTTTTCTTCACCTTTAGCACAGGCATGGGTTGATTAAGCTTCAAATATAATATTTCACAAAGGCAGTAAAGTAGGATGAATTAATTAATATGATTTTTAATTGTTTTTATAATATATAACTGCTATTCCATATATCTTAAAGATAAGAATTAATGGATAATTAAATGTGTAGAATGATAATCTTTTGCTTTTGGTTAGTATTAGTACGTTTTATTATTTTTTATATGTAGATTTTTAGAGACAGGGTCTCACTCTGTAGCCCAGGCTGGAGTACAGTGATGTGAGCATAGCTCACTGTAACCTCAAACTCCTGTGCTCAATCTATCCTCCTGCCTCAGCCTCCTGAGTAGTTCACACTGCAGGTGTGCACCACCGTGCCCAGCTAATTTTCTAAAAAATTTCTTGTAGAGATGGGGATCTCACCACGTTGCCCAGGCCGGTCTCGAACTCCTGGCCCTAAGCACCCAATCCACCTTCGATTCCCAAAGAGCTGGGATTATAGGCATGAGTCACCATACCCAGCTCATCTTAACCAAGATTCATGTTGTTGTAAAACAGATCTCTAGAACTTTTTCGTCTTTCAAAACTGAAACTCTATACCCATGAAACATTTTTGGTGATGTTGAGTAATAAGGCTTTGGATTTTATTTACATCTATTTTAGTAGGAACCTTCTATACTGACGCTGAATTGGCACAGGGACAGAGGGCGCTGCCTTGTTACTGCCAAGTTGGGGTAGAAGCACAGGTCCCCAGTGGACTTTTGACACTTCAGGGGTTAGAAGAGCACCTCATTACTGCTGGGCAAGCGTGGGAGGTCTGGCTTTCCACGAGGCCTCCTCTGATGCCGTCCTGGCTAGCAGGGTAGGGGCAAGAGCTCCTCGTTATTGCCGACACTGACGCTGGTGGGGTAGGAATGGGTGCCTCGCTACTGGTGAAAGACAGTGAAGGTGCTGTCTTCCCACTCTGCCTTTTCTGATTCTCAGGGCAGGGGAAGGGGGCAAGCTTGTTACTGCTATACCGTATATGGGTGGAGGCCTGGGCTCCTCATGTGGTCTTTACTGACACAATGGCTAGGAAGGGGGCCTTGCTATTGTTGGGTTGCGATCAAAGCCCCAGATCTGGCAGAGGATAATGTTGGGGCACCTTGTTATGATCACATGTGGTTCAAAGTCTCGGCTCCCTACTTGCCCTTGATTGATGGAGCTTAGGGTGTGGTTTTTCTGTGGCGTTTGGCTGAAGTGGAGTAGCTGTCGTTTGAAAGTTCTCTTGCTTGCTGGGATGTCCCTTTCTTGGTCCTTTGGCTTGAGAGTTTTTCTTGTTTTTTTTGTGTATTTCTTGTGTATTTCTGTGCGTGTACCTATTGGTGTTTCCAGTCTCCTCCATTCTCCAGCTCTCCATGTGGGAAATAGGAGGCAAAAGACAACCCGGCAAATGCGTTCCTGTGCCCGTCCTCAGGTCTTGAGGTCCCTGGCTGGTCTGCCACCTTCTCTCCAAATTGAAGTCTTCTTGTTCTTGTTTTGTATATAATGTCCATGGTTTTTAGTTTAATGGTAGAAATAAAAAAAGTACATCTTTTCTCTCGTGTCACCTAGGTTTTTAAATGTATATGTTATACCTCAGTAATATACAATAAATTTTCACTTAAAATGCAAGGTTCTATTTTTTATTAATTGAAAAAATTTACCATTTATTCCACATTTCCTTGGGGCCAAATGCTTAGTGATTTGTGACTCTGAGTCTTTCGCAGGTGAGAGACTTGGTGTGTTGAATAATTTTGTCAAATTCCTGGAGGATAGAAGTGCTGGATGTAAGTGCTCATGCCCTAACAGGAGGCACAGACAATAAACAAGGAAACACAGTAATTCTGGATAGTGCCAGTGCTCTGAAGAACATAAGAGAGGGAGGGTACATTATAGAATGACTTCGGGGGGTCTGTGTGCAGGTGAGGTAGAAGCAGACGCTGTTAGCCTGGGGTGGGTGGGTGAGTCAGGGAAGGCCCTTTGAGAAGGTGCATTCCAGCCATGAATGATGAGGAGGAGCTTGCTGTGTCAAGATCTGGGGGCAGAGCTTTGTGGTTCAGCTTCCCTGAAGTGTGAGAGATCTTGGGGAGATCTGGGAAAAGAAAGAAGGCCATCTCAGTTGGAGCATAGTAACCATGAAGGAATGAACATTGGAGGAGGCTGGGAAATTGGAAGAACACCCTGATCACATAGGCTTGTGGTATTGGCCTTCCTAAGGGTTTTTGTTTGTTTGTTTTGTTTTGTTGGCACAGTGGCCATTGTTTTATTTTTAAAGTAGGGAAAAATGCATGCATTTGTTAACACATGTGTTTGAAGTGCAGGTTTACTAATCTTATTATTGCTAAATTGAGGTTGATAATTTAGAATGAGTAGATGAGGAAGGGACCTAGCAATAAACACCAAGTGTGCTGCTTCCTGTTGGCCAGGGAGAAAGAACTGCACATGGTGTTCTTTTTGGGGGACCGATGCCTGTGTATTACAGTCTTTTATTTAAATTGAAATTCAGTCTCCAGAAGATGTCCATTCTCATCCCTTCAAATAAATTGCTGACTCTAAAGAAGAAAACAAAATTAGCTGTAATCTCACTGCCCAGCAATAATTATTAACATGTTGGTTTATCTCATTTTAGTTTTTTGTCTGTGTCTGTGTATTTTATGCACCCATTGACAAAGTTAAGATAAAATTGTGTTGATTTATCTTGCTATTTTCTTGAGTGTGTTACTATGTCATTAAATATTCCTCAAGAACATTTTTGAGATTTTATATGATTTATTTTGTGAAGCTCCTATAATTTAACTCTTCCTCTAGTATCAAACTGTTTGCTTTCCATATTTTGGTTCCTATTCACCCTGATGCAGTGAACATCTTGTTACATACACCCTTGTGTTCTCCTGTGATAGATTACTTCAAATGTAATACACATTTATAAGGCTCTGCATTAATATTGCTTGATTGTTTTCTACAAAGGTAGATGATGTGAGTACCATTTTACTTACAATTTAGCCATCAGTCATTTCAACCATATGCTATATTTCTCTTATAATAAAATCTAGAGTTTAGGATTATTTAATTAGCAGAATATTTTATGCTTTCATAGTTATTTGCAGTTAGTAATTAATCTCTGATTCTACGTTTGAAATATCTAACTGTAGCCAGGTTTTCATCTTAAATTACATTAACTAGATGGTGTAGTCTATTCCCTTCTGGGTCATATTCATTTTCTTGAGTGGATATTTATGTATTGAAGGAATTTGTTTGGTTCACACTATTAGCTACTTGGGTATCAGCATCCTTAGACGATGATTATCCCGCAGCCATTTGCATTACTGGTGCTTGATT